GTGGGCCCTCTTCCCGTGTTTAACCGGATTTTCTTTCGGCGCAGCCATCTGTTCTGCTTGCGATCACTGTCTATTTTTAAAATATGGTTAGTATAGGGTATCCAGCACTCAGCTCCAGTAGCAATCCACTGGAGAACTGTTCCCCAACAAAGACGACGAAGTGAAGACTGACAGGCACTAGCACAGTTGTTGGTGTAGTTAATGAGACACTCATGTTGCGGAGACTTTTCTTGAGCAGCGATGATATTGAAGTTTGTTGACTATCGTATGGAATTCACCGAATGATAGAGATCTAGAGATCTAGCATGCTAGCTTCCAGATTCGCTCCTAGAACTTCGAATTTTCGCTCGCTACGGTCGCGAGACATTCACATCAGAAAGTTTTTTTCCCCTGGTGAAAAGCTTCACAACCGGCGATCAGCGTTAATAGTAGCCGTTGCCTTCTTGAAGGAGCGCTTCAGGGTGCACTCTTAAAAGGTTATTGGTCGAACAACGAATTGCTTATTAGAACCATTTTTGCTGCACATTAGCAAGGGCTTCATATTTATTATACATCTCTGGTGAGTCATTCTGTACACCCACTCTACCGTACCCACACGAGTAATCTCGCAGTATTTAGCAAGCGGCGAGATAACTTGTGATTACAAAAGTGTCGCAAAACTTATGCACCAACCTAATAAATAGATCGATAATCGAAATGGTCCCAAACAGGAACTAGTGACCACTTCAAGTATAGGCCATATATTTGATTGGATTGGTTTTCAAGCGGAGATTCGATACTCCCAGTAAGCTACGTCCTTTTCTCCCCTCCTTTCTTCACAGGATGCAATACAAATAGAAAATTCCAATGGATTTTTATCGGGAGGAGATTGAACTTACCTGCACAGCCTTGTGATATTGTGGAATACCGTACTCATCGCGAGTACCTTGTATCAGAAGTACTAACATTCGCCGGAAATCGCCTGACGTTTCGGACCAAATTGTCTCCTCCAGTGATTTGTCGTATGTCGTATAAAATGTGTTTCTTAACAAATATTCATCCGAATCGGAGATTTTTGAAATAAAGTAAACAAAATGATTTTATGATTGCGGCTGAAAAGTGGTGGATGCGCTGGGTAGGCCCTCCCCACAACCGTTCCCTTTTCTTCCAGTCATAGCCTCCATTCGG